ATAATAAACAGTAGTTGACACAAGTGGCTGCTAATCCTCGTCCGTAATAACTAGGATTGACGAATATATTTTCACGGAGAAGTGTAGAATTTTGTGTATTGGCAATTATATGGTAATGTATACAGTAAAATTTGTTAAATTGAAATTTTTGAAAAAAAAAAATTAAAATAAAGTTGCTCGGAATATTTGAAGGCTATCTATGAGTGTATAAAATAAATAGTTGCATGTGACATTTTACCTTAAGTAAGTTGTAGAGCTTTTTGGTGACTGAAGAACCAGATTTTAATAAATTTAGATCGGATGCTAATAATCCAATGACCGGAGGACCAAATTTTAATAAGCCTAAATCGAATGCCAATAATCCAGTGACTGGATGACCAGATTTTAATGTGTCTGAATCGGATGCCAATAATCCAGTGACTGGACGACCAGATTTTAGTAGTCTAAATTAGATGCCAGTAATATAGTGACTGAAGGACCAGATTTAATATGTCTGAATCGGAATAATATAGTGACTGAAGGACCAGATTTTAATATGTCTGAATCGGATGCCAATAATTCAGTGACTGAAGGACCAGATTTTAATAAGTCTAAATCGGATGCCAATAATCCAGTGACTGGATAACCAGATTTTAATGTGTCTAAATTGGATGCCAATAATCCAGTGACTGAAAGACCAGATTTTAGTGAGCCTAAATTGAATGCCAATAATCCAGTGACTGGAGAGCAGGATTTTAATCAAAGTGTAGTAAAAAAATAAGTTAAAATATCTTTTAGTATAATGATTTGGAACTGCTGGAAATCATGAGTGGCCGCCACCAGCATTCTGGAGTTGAGACAAACGTCTGAATGCGCAAAGACGAATGAAAGGCTAACAGAAACAAAGAAAGCGTAAATATTTTACGACTACTGTGGGCTAAAGCCACATCCACATCAAAAAATATAATTGAAGAATATTGAAATAGTCATTTTTCCGAGCCAAAAACAGATGTGTTGGTCGTAGTATTAAAATCATGTTTCGTCATATATCTTAATTTCGTTCACCAGAAAGATTTTTTGGTAACTTGTACATAAGAGACCAATGACCAAAATGTTAAAAACATTTTATTCCACATTCAGAACTTTTCATATAGAGAAGAGCGGGGCTGAAAGATCCGCGGAAAAAATGTTCCACCACTATTATCTCCAAAACAAGTAAAATATGGTATTTTTTACCGATACTATTTTAAAGTAGAGGGCAAAATATGTGTAATCAGCATCACCTTAAATCAGACTTAAAACGTCCACATTGTCAAAATTTCAACAATAGATTTTGATGATAGTTTTTTTCTGTTTTGAGCACTGTTGTTTAGTTTACGATGCCTGAATATATTTTTTAAGTATGAGTTATTTATTTGTTTTATCTGATATAGAGTAGACTAGGGCATAATGTTTGTGGCAAAAAGATCTCCCATCGATATCCCAAAAACAATTGAAGTTATGAGTCTTTTTAACAACAATATTTGAAAGTAGAGGGGGAAAGATGTATAACCAGTCATCATCTTGATTGGATTTCTCCAAAACAAGTGAAATTATGATTTTTTTTACCAACATTATTTGAAAGTAGAGGAGAGAAGATTTATATCCAGCTATCATCTTGATTGCATGTCTCTAAAACAAGTGAAGTTATGATTTTTTTAACAACAATATTTGAAAGTAGAGGGAAAAAGATGTATAACCAGCCATCATTTTGATTGGATGTCTCTAAAACACGTAAAGTTATGATTTTTTTTAACAACAATATTTGAAAGTAGAGGGGAAAAGATGTATAACCAAAACATGTCTCCAAAACAAGTGAAGTTATGATTTTTTTAACAACAATATTTGAAAGTAGAGGGAAAACATGTATGACATATATATGCTAACGGAAGATAAACGGCAATGTTTGAAAATCCATAACAAAGTATTTTCTTTCGTTGTTAATGTTTTTGACTGTGAGCACTGTTGTTTAGTTTACGAGGCCTTAATATAATTTTTAGGTATTACTGCACATGCTCAGATAGTTTTGTGTTCGATATGTGTTATTTGTTGTGATGTAGTTATTTCGGTTTTGCTGAAACTCAAATCGGACCTTTGTCCCCCGCTCTACCCTATTTACTCATATGTTTTGGATGAATGGATCCTTAGTAAGGTGAATACGACGGCAATGAATGATTTGACATTAAACTTATTGCCGGGACCACTTCTTTTGTTCCTGCGTTCGTGGAAATGACGCAATGGCCGATAGATTTATGTCTGAAACAAACTGACACTCGTCGCGACTGGAGACGACAATTTCGTTGTTTTTCTTATTTTGACGAGTTTTGTTTTAAGCGTCGATAATGCCCACACAAGAAAGGGTTTATGAGCCACGTTATCGGAGGTGAAATGAAAAAATGTAAGGTTTGGATAACATATACATATTCAGTCCCTTATTTATAGAACTTTCCAGATGGGTGTCGCTTGAGACATCTTAAATATAAATTGTAGTAGATGAGACTATTAATTAGAGACTAAACTATTATTGATAACTAGCTGACCCGGCAAACGTTGTTTTGCTGATCAATTTCTAGAGAATCAAAAAAATGAATACTTTTAGTGTATAAGAATGTGTTATTTGAATGCTATATACAATGAGGTATTATAAAAACAACAAACCCCATTAATTTGTCTATATTTTGTCAATACAATCAAACTGGATGTTTTATACACTTTCTATAGAAAACATGATATAATCCAATCCAAGTCTTTTTTGGTCTTTCCACTTATTGATTATGTTTCAAGTTTTTCAGATTCTTTTTGGATTCTGGATTTTGTGTATAATTCTAAATAATACTACTGAGCTTATAAAAAAATTTCAATTTTCTGCGAGGAGAGATAGAAAATAAATTAAGTATTTCTTTGACCTGCTTTTTGAAAAGTTCAAGTTACTTTCGATGAATTAAAGGAAAATTAAAAGGAAAGGGCAAGACACAAAGGTCCAATTTGACTTTGAGCAAATATAAACTGTATTGTGAAAACCATAACAATTATGTCACAACAAATAACACATTTCAAACGAACAATTATCTGACTAGGTTCAGTACAACTGCCAGCTACTTCATCTTTGTAGAAATGTGATTTTCTTATGTCTGTCAAAAATTACCCTATAGGCGGGGTAACTTGAAACGGGCAGGTGGCAAAAAGGTTTAAAGCCTTATTATAATTTTAAAGGTATTTTACAAATTAATTACATTTTTAACTAATGCTAAAAAACTACCAACTGAAGAAAATACTTTTACTATGGATGTTCAAAGATTACCGTTTTCAAATCAAGGTTATAGTTGGTTATACATCTTTTTTCTTCTACTTTCAAATATCGTTGTTAAACAATGCTTAACTTTACTGATTTTTGACACACCGGTGGTGGACATTTTTAACACCGGATCTTCATATATTACTATCTATTCTTCGATCAATCGTTTGATCGATACCAAATTTAGGTTCTGAATTTAAATATCATAAATAAAAAATAATATAACCTAGAAATTGTTTTATAAATACTAATGAGTATATAATTATACAAATGAGATTTTTCAGAGCACTGTGTTTGAGAAAAATATGCCAAAAAGTGCATTGTCATATTAACATTTCAAAAAAGTTGCTATTTTGAGTCCCTAGTAACACTTGCGGCCCGGTTAATAACGTTTTTGTATATAAATAAAACTACAAACAAAACTACTTACTACAATTTAATCATAATTAAATAATATTCATGTAAAACATTCTATTAAAAATAATTGAATATCATCTGTCAAAAACGTTCGACATTTGACGTATTAGCCATTGTCCATTGTTTTAATTAAATTACGCTTCTACAAAAATTATCAAATTAAAAATGTAAAGTTTCTACTCGATTTTGAAATAATATCTCACCTTTCCGACGACCCTTGATTAGCACGAATTTTTTAAGACTAAGACTGGCCAAATCGGTTTAGCCGTTTTCGAGTTTTACCGAATCATTTGATCGAGAGCTCTATTTTTATATATAATATAATGTTTCCAGAGTGAGCAAACTATTTTTATCCCTTACCTTGAATCCTCCGGACGTGAGACCTGCGTTCCTCTTGGCCAGCACGCACTTCATTCGTATGAAGAAAGCCCTTTCGCTCTCCAATTCTTGTGCCTGAGCCCGGTAGCCGGCGCCCGTTATGGGTGGAGGTCCCACTAATGGGGCGCCGCCGGGGTATTGGGCTGATAGTACTGCGGTCATTTCTTCGTGATCGGCTTGATGGATGTATTCGAATATGCTGTTACCCGTTAATTCAACCTATAATAGATAGATAAACGAGGGTAAATGAACTGATGGATTGAGAGTTAACTTCCCAAAGGAGAAGTTGTTTTCGCGACAAAATGCGATTTGCTAATTTCATGGTTTCTCAATGTTTCATGTTATTTTGAATTGATTGAAACTAAATTTGGAAAATTTATATGTGTGTACATATGCGATTATTTTTTTTCTTCGACATTTTCTCAAAAACATCTGAGGGATCGTTCAAGTATTACGTAAGCAGATTTATTACAATTATTTACCCCCCGATCCCCCTTGTCAGCAGAAGTAAGCAAAGCTCTTACCCCCTACCCCCATGCTTACGCAAACATTTTGCAATTAATGTAAAAAAAATAAAAATACTACCTATGACATAATCATCATCCAGACTCCCCTGCCACCTATGTCAACTCAAAATAAGCAAATTAACAACCCCCTCCCGCCTCTCTATAGTGCTTACGTAATACTTGAACGGCCCCTGAGAACCGATTTCAAAAATTTTGTGCGGCGATTAGCAAAGCTTTTCCTTTATAATTAGCAGAAAAATGTAAAACTTTTCCTCCACATTTTAGCTCACAGTCATGAATCATGAATCGATTTTAAAAATTCAAAAACTGTTCGAAAGATATTGGTTGGGAATTGCGTTTATTAGTTTTCCGTAAAGATCGGCCGGGACGTTTCTTCGTAAATAAATGCTGAGATATTTTTTGACGATTTTGATGGATCTTTTTATAACGTTAGAAATAACGTACTAAAATATTATTCGTCTAAAATAAAGGATTGAATTATAAAAATTCATCACAGTTTAGAGTGTCGTCATGTGCTTAAGCGATTCTAATCAGAATCTATGTCAAGCATATGTACGTTCTATGTATCGTAAAGTCACAACTGATTCACATTTAAAATAACTATAATAGATTTTTGAACCCGAAATGTATGAAATGTGTTAGATACATTAATTTAATTTATACAATTGCAGATTTTATAAATATTTTTGAAAGATATCACTTATAAATCATATTGATTATTTTTTAGTGAATGCGAACATTTCATTTCCAAAATAACAATTTGAATTTAAAAATTTAAATCCTCAAAAAATTTGAATATTTTGAATCTTAAAAGTTAAATCAAAACTATTATTGATTAAGTAGATTCTGTATATAATACGTATCGCGAAGTTCGTGCAAATTGCCTTAATAAAAATGTTTCTTATAACTAGTTTGTATGTTGCTCACTATTTTCTTATTATTTACATTTTGCCAGGTGGTCCTTTTTGCTACAACAAGACGTAAGCTTTTCTAGAGGTTATATTAAAAAAAAAACGGTTGAAAATAATTTAAAAGTAACGATACACACGTATATTTAAGTACATAAATATATTCAGGTATTAGAAAAATATATTCAGGTATTGTAAACTAAATAGCACTGGTCAAAACGAAAAAAAAACTAACAACGATGAAATATACTTTCGGTAAACAAACTACCAGTGTGACCGTTTATCTTATTATAGCGATGCCGACAGATTTAAGGCAAAGGCTGGTTACACATCTTTTGCTCTCTACTTTAAAATAGTATTGTTAAAAAAATCATATATTATTTGTTTTAATGGTGAACTTTATCACCCGCGGATCCACCCTTAACACTAAGCTCTTGCCTAGCCTATATATTAAAGACATTTTAAAGATACTTTTAAGATAGTTCAACAAAAAGTCTTAATTCTAGAGAAATTGGGCTAATTACATCATTATTTTTGAGTGGTTTTAGAAATGTTGTTTACAATTTTTGATCTAAAGTTTAAATGAACAAAATTAATAAAACCGAGAAACGATCATAGTTTCACCAAAGCTTTATGTTGCACTTAATATGATTAGCTTTATTTTCAAAACTCCAGTCTTTGAGGTCTCATAAATATTTTCTAATTCACATTTTAAAATAATTTATTAAGAAAAATATAAAAAAGGTTTTATCTTCACTCTTAATTAAGGTGACCATAATTAAAAAAAGTAAAAGCAATATTTGTCCCGGTTTTAAGTGTTTTGTCCCGGATTGTCCCGGATTTTTAAAAATGTATTGATTGCCAATATTTTTTTTAAATATATTTCAACTAGAAAATTTGAACCAAAAAAATGTGCATATAAGTTTTTAGCTCACCAACAATTTATTCCCCACCCCCTCCGCTCTCACACACATTTTAATCCGTCCCGGATTTTATGCAAAAAATATGGTCACCTTACTCTTAATACAAGGGGAATAATACATATAAATAAATCAATTTTTTTTCGCACCTGGCTAAGTCCTAAATGTACTGAAGCTGTTTCCGAGATGTACATGATTTTGCCGTCGGGCGCCAAAACGAATATGAATCCATCGAGCGACTGAAGCAAGTGGGAACCCAGTTCTCGCATCGCAGGGTCTCGGGGAGTAGCGCACGGGGGCGCAGCACCCCAAGCATCTCCTAGACCTAGTGAAAAAAAAATCGACAAATCAATAAAAAAAATTTAACTAATAATTAATTACAAACATTATTCAGATTCCTGTGAGATTCATATTCAATATACAGTATTTTTTCGTATTTCATCATATATTTTTATCTCAATACTTTTATCTCATCGAACTCAATTGATTTTCTTCCCGGTGTTTTTTTGTATCAGAGGAATCTCTCTGTTGTGTATAATATATAATAGAACAACTTTATAGACTTGTTCGAATTGTCAACTGCCGAAGTGTGATGTATCTTCCTTTATCGAAATATAATTCTATTGTTAAAGATGCCACTACCAGTATTTGAAGTATTGATCAATAGATATTAGATATGATGACGTGGCTACGCATAACGTATAAATATATGTTCGGTTTAAATTGATGTGAGAGACAAATTGATGAATGTAATACAAAAATTTGAATAAAAAATACTAAATTTGTCATTATTTATTTTTTTTTGAAAATTGTGTACTTTGATGCGGACTTAATATAAATGCTCTTTGCACATTAAAGTTACTGAAAATGCTTAGGAGTATTTTTATGATTTATGATTGTCTATAATTTTATGAAGCTTACAAATATATGATAATGATCTAAGTATTTAAAAAAAATGTATATTATTGAACGCACAATTATTTATTTCTATAAATGCTATTACTGCCTTACCATTAACTTGAAATAATATGAAAGTATATTTTATATTATCATGAATTCCTTTAATTTTATGGAGCTTACAAATAGCAAAATGATTTATTTTTATCAAAAAAAGGAAACTTCATGCAATTTTTTATTCAAATACAGATTATAAACGTAGTAAAAATATAAATGTTATACGCTTAAATTATAATTGTATATATGCTTCTTTCAGGTAATACAAAACAATTAATAAATACAGTTATAACAAAATAAGAATTAAATTGAATAAATGTATTTTACAAAAATTCAATAATATAAGTATGATGCAAAAACAAAATCATGGTCCCAAAACTGTTTCTTTATTTTGAATAAAAAATCATGCTTGATAGAAGTTCATAAAAATTAAAATTAACAGCCTAAATTTACAAAATACAAAGGAAGTATGAACGTAAAGTTAAGTGTTAAGAAACAAATCAGGTTTACAAACATTAATTAAATTTTCATTACTGAATTCTGCATTTACTTACTAACTACAATATCTACAATTTTTTTATAAAAATTGATAAAATGACTTTTGCCAAAGGTGTATTTAAAATTAATCATATGTTCAGAAAATGTAGTTTTAAATTGTTGGAATAATAAGTAAGTTAATTTATTCTTTTATAAATTTATTGAAAACATTTACCAATATAACAAACATTCCAAACCATTTACTGAATCTGTATTCCTGTTATTGGTAGTTTTTTTTTTTTAAAGAGAAAAAACGGAACGAAAAATATTTTGTGTGCAGTACATACATTTTACGTTGTTTCAATTCGGCGTAAGGGTCGTTTGTAAAGATATTTCAACATGCGATTTTTATTTTTTACTAGATTTTTTTATTATGTAACTATCAAATATTTTACCCTTTTACAATCAAAATGCACTAACTTTTGCTGAAATCTGGCGAGACACTTTAGTACTTTTTTTTAAGGAAAGTCTCTCAAATTTTGAAAATTTATTCATGGTTTAACAGAAAGATTTAATTCTAAGAAAACCTGGGGCAATTTTGTTTTCACTTCTGACTGTGGTCCTAGAACTATTATTTTCGATTATGGATCTAAAATTTAAATGAACAAAATTAGTAAAAGAAAATTGATCACAGTTTTACCAAAGGTCTGTGTTGTACTTAAAAGCTCATAATTTTCGAACTATATAGAATAATTTTCAATACTATCGCCCTGTTCCGACTTGACGTTGAGTTCTGGGACACCCTGCATATTTATAAAAGACAACCTCAATATATATTTAATTAAATAGACTTTTAAATACATCGATGGTATGTCAATAAATCCAAACCGTACACAATCACTTAACAGCCATAACAAATTGTGCAATTTCCTATGCCTAAAAATGCATATTAACTATTCCTCATAAATATACTATAATATTGCTATTGCACCTTATCAGTATACAGTATTTTATTACAAATGCACGGTCGTAGATTATGTTTGATTATAAATTTGATTCTCTTCGAAGGTAATTTTCTTCAAGTATCAGTCACGGGTACAGAAGATGTAATAATTCAACGTACTAAGTACCGGAAAATTACTCATTGCTACCATCACAGAATTAACTTGTGAGGAATTACGATGGACGAACGATATTAAATGTACAAGTACATGACATAAAACTTTACAGTTGTGTCCATTCGAAAATATTGTCGTGAGGTTATTAATATACCTTGTTAGTAATTTATCGATTCATTATAATAGTATTTATTAGTTGATTCATAGTAATTTGATCTAGTCTTTGGTCTATGTAACTAGTGGTGTACAACTGTACATACATATAACTTTACAGTTGTGTCCATTCGAAAATATTGTAGTGAGGTTATTAAAATACCTTGTTGGTAATTTATCGATTCATTATAATAGTATTGTGTTAGTTGATTCATAATAATTTGATCTAGTCTTTGGTACATGCAATAATAAACCTAGTGGTGTATGGCATCGTGGCTTAAGCAAATTGCTGGAACTTCACGTACTGTAATGAAATATTCGAGGTATTAATTGTTTTTTTAAATTATTATATGTGATATTTCAGTATATAAGTAAGCTTTAGAATTTTAGCTAGAATTAAAATAAAACTCTAAATTATTTATGATAATAAAAAAAAATTGAAAATAAAAAAAAATGAAAATGAAAATGAATTGAAAAAAAAATTTCTTTTCTCAAAATTAATCGTTTAGTCAATACAAGCAAAAGATTTTTTGAATCATTCAAATCGGATGCTTCGTTCCCTCAAAAACTGTCATTTTTTACACATTTATCTCTAAAATGTCTTGACCTGTCTTTGCCAAAAACTAATCATCACTTCTCGCCATCAAATTGAATGTTTTTTGAATCATTCAAATCGGATGCTCCATACTCGCAAAAACTCGATTTCTATATTCTGCACTTTTTGCTTCGTATCTCTTCGAAACGGCTTGACCAACTCTCGCCAAAAACTAATCAGCACGTCTCCTTCTCAATAGGAATCGAATGCTTTTTGAATAATTCAAATCGGTTGACCGGTGCTGTTGAAAACGTCGACAAAAAATTGTATCCAAACATACACACAAATATCCATTTTTTCTAAAAAATGCCAAAATGTTCAGAAACCTCTGAAACGTAAAAATATGCAAAATAAAAATCATTTTCGATTTCGGCCGATTACTATAACTTACCCTACTAATAATAGTAGTTAATATGTTAATAAAAAATAAATTGAGTTAAAAAGCAATATAAAAAGGGATAAATTATATAAATAGTTATTCCAACTCTGCTGATGATTATTTTCGACAAAATACCTGATCAAGGTTATATACAGAGTTATCTTTTGCATTGTTTGAATAATGTAGCTATTATTTCGTAAAATGCCTTTTAAATTAAAAATAAGACATTGATTTTTCTAGTCGTTCCATTTTACCTCGCCATTGGGGTAAAAGGGACCAGGTGACCAATTTTTGAAAAATAGCAGAAAACACATTTTTACAATGATGAATTAGCTGGGAGTTTTACTGAACATATTCAGATAGTTGTTTGATTGATATGTGTTATTTGTTGTGATTTAATTGTTTTGGTTTTCACAATATAATTGCTCAAAGTCAAATTGGACCTTTTTGCCCCGACCTACCCTATATTAATTATTTTTAACAATTCTGTTAATTATGTAATATGAATTCATTTGTCAATTATCAAAAAATTGGTTTATTGATATAGAAATCCCAATAATTTCACATTTAAATATTCAAAATTTTATGTTTTGAAGAATTTTTGTGGACGGAACGAATTGTTTTTATTGACATAATAAATAACATAAAACCAAGACAATTTTATAAGCTTTTATAAAAAGATTAGAATTAAGCTAAAATTATTTAAAAAAAAATTTGTAGAGTTTAATCCAATGAGTATTATTTTTTAATTAAAGCTAAGGCAGGTCCATAGATCAACAATTTTTAAGACATTGAATAGTCGTTTACAATAAGTAGCTTATTTGGATAATCTTCCACTTTATTGTTTTACTAGTATTATTTTTATTATTCTGAAATTTTATTTATTTTATTTATTAATTTTATTATTATTTTTATTTGCTTTTATTTTATATTAAATCATCATACTATGGAAATCATTCTAATGTAAATACTATCCTTTATTTTGTACTCTTTTTTATTTAAATTCATGTTATTGTTCATTATTATTACTAGAAGTTAAATTATTTAACAGTTGTAATAAATATTGTAATTAAAAAAAAAATTATCTGCAATTTTTAAAATAAAATAGAATATTCTAACAGTAGTGTTCAAATTTTAAAAAAATAATCAATGTCATTTACCATTTTCCCATGGTCCAGTTATAATCATGCTGTGACACCTACATTCAAACTAGATCATTATACGACTTCAAAAGGCAGAAAAAACAGTGACGTGTGCTCGAATTGGAAATAATAATAATAACAAAATTCTCTCAACTTCACTAAAGTGTGATAACAGAGATTTTTGCCCGAGGGCTCAAAGTAGGGCATGTTTAATGGGGCGTACAATAATTGCTTGGGTGTCGTTTCGAGTTGTGAAAAGCAGAGGGATGATGAGAAAACAGAGGTTACAAATCTCTCGGAGATATAAAATTGAATTGGATTTTGTAAATGACGAAACACTAAACTGACAAATAGGTTCTTGAAAACTTAGTAAACACGAATGTCAAATGACTTAAAATTTCTAATTTTGAAAATAAAATATGCTTTAAATTAGTTATATAAATATATATGCATATATATATATACATATTATTTTAAAAATCAGCGCTCAAAATATCTTTTCTTGTAATGTATCATGTTCAAATATGTTTTTACTGTTGTGGGTAAGATTGTTCAATAATAGATTTCAGAAAAGATTAGATTTTCTCATATATTTTAATATAGTAGGAGGCTCGAATGTTACATCGCTTTATTAGTACAATATATTTATTTAGATACCTACTGTATCATTATTTCAGTTAATCTTTTTCATTTTGAGATTTTTATAGAGTAACATTTTTGAACAAATTTTCAATAACAATTTCAAAAATATTTCCTATAGAAATATTCCATAATAATTTTACAAGAGCACTAAATATAATTATAATATTCGCAGAGAAATACTCAG